TGTACTGTGCTAAAGGAAGTGTATGGCCTGCTTTTCTCGTCTATTGGTACTTGGTAGTAACCTTTAGTTAAATCTAGCTTGGTGAAAAATTTAGCATCATGAGCACTGTATTTTGAATCAGCTAGATTTGGCATTGGAAATTTTTCTGGTTTGGTTACACTATTTAACTTCCGGTAGTCAACACAAAGACGAAGTTGACCATCGGGTTTTCTAATTGGTACTATTGGGGAAGACCATAATGATTGACTTTGCTCTATTATATCTAATGCTTCAAGTTCCTTACATTGTCTTTCTATTTCACTATTAATTGGTTCAGCAAAACGTCTAGGTTTTTGATAAATTGGTGTATTGTTGGTTAATTCTATGGTCTGGGGTGTTATATGAGCTCGTCCAATATCTGAATCAGTTTTGCTAAGAGCGGTCCTAACTTTGGTAAGCATTGAAAAGATCCTATCCTTTTCCTCTTCCATAAGCTGAGTCCCTATGTTTAATTCGCTTTTCATTCTTGGAATGTTCCATTCATTTGTATCATCGTCATCTTCTTCTTCCAGTTGTATTACTGAACTAACGTTACCAAGTATATCGCCCCTTTTGATTATTTGAGGTTTCTTCGGATCTTTTGTTTTGCTACATATTAAAACTGCCGGGCTTTGGTGGTCATGTTCGAAAATACCATCGATTCCATAAATTTTCTTGCGTTTTAGTTCACCTTGATAATACAGAGCCTTGTTGTTATACATTGTTTCCTTGCTCAGAAGATTGATCTTCACTGGGACTTTAATCGGAGAGCGAGAAATCACTGTATCTTCGGCTGCATGAATTGGTATTGCTTCGTGAATTACATGCTTTGGTTGACCATCTTCCCCCATATAAATGTCTACTCGTGCTCCATTGCTGCAAACCTTTGAAATTTTCCTTTTGTTCATGTTTATAATGAAGTTGTTTTGTCGTAGAAATGGGGTTCCTATAAAGAATGAGTGGTCAATTGTATCATCTGGAACTACATCAAATTTTGCGAAGTTTGTCTTAATTCCATAAATGGTAAAGTTAAGTTTCGTGGTTCCAAGAGTGCGGATGTCTATCATGCCTAGTCCTTGTACCGATATAGCCTCATCAGAATCCCAAGTCTTATTCAGTGCTTCGACTACTGATTGCTTCACTAGGTTATTTGCCGCGCCTGAGTCAATCAGGGCTTCATGTTTTTGATCTCCCAATTTGACTACTAAAACAAGTAACTGATCCGGTTCCAAAGAAACCAAGTTTATCAGTGCTTTCTGATGTGTTTTATTAATGGAAGTAGATGGTCTGTTTTCTACTTGCTTCTCCTTTTCTCATGGTTGCCTTCGAGTTCATTGTCGTGTTCTACTGTTGTTCCGTTGTTGTTAGAAATTGGGCAGGGCACTTCATTTTCTTTCTTTATATTTTTCTTTGGTGGTCATGTTCGAAAATACCATCAATTCCATAAATTTTCTTGTGTTTTAGTTCACCTTGATAATACAGAGCCTTGTTGTTATACATTGTTTCCTTGCTCAGAAGATTGATCTTGACAGGGACTTTAATCGGAGAGTGAGAAATCACTGTATCTTCGGCTGCATGAATTGGTATTGTTTCGTGAATTACATGCTTTGGTTGACCATCTTCCCCTATATAAATGTCTACTCGTGCACCATTGCTGCAAACCTTTGAAATTTTCCTCTTGTTCATGTTTATAATGAAGTTGTTTTGTCGTAGAAATGGGGTACCTAAAAAGATAGAGTGGTCAATTGTATCATCTGGAACTACATCAAATTTTGCAAAGTTTGTCTTGATTCCATAAATGGTGAAGCTAAGTTTCGTGGTTCCAAGAGTGCGGATGTCTATCATGCCTAGTCCTTGTACCGAGATAGCGTCGTCAGGATCCCAGGTCTTATTCAGTGCTTCGACAACTGATTGCTTCACTAGGTTATTTGCCGCGCCTGAGTCAATCAGGGCTTCATGTTTTTGATCTCTCAATTTGACTTCTAAAACAAGTAGCTGATCTGGCTCCAAAGAAACCAAGTTTATTAGTGCTTTCTGATGTGTTTTATTAATGGAAGAGGATGGTCTGTTTTCTACTTGCTTGTCCTTTTCCTCATGGTTGCCTTCGAGTTCATTGTCATGTTCTACTGTTGTTCCGTTGTCGTTAGAAATTGGGCAGAACACTTCCTTTTCTTTCTTTATATTTTTTGTTGTTCTTTTGTTAATAATCCTCTCATTATCTTCATTCACTGGGAATTTGCATTGATCTTCATCCGGCTGCTCTTCATCTTCGTCTATACTGAGACAATCATAGCGGTTGTACGTTCCGATCGGGGAAAACTGCGTTGAGGGTTTGTTCTTGGCTGCTGGTGCACCCCTCTCCTTACCAGAGCCCGTCAGTTTGACGCTCTGTTATAGGCATTCCCTTCACTAGTGGTTCACACTCTATTGTTGTGTCATCACACTCTCACCCTTCACACTCTATTGTTTGGCCTTCCGTTGAAATGATTTTGTGCATTATGGTTCTGAAGTGTGGTTGCTTGATTGGCCTGATAGCCTTGTCCTCCAGAAAATCGGTTTCCTCGTGGTTGTTGCGACTGAGATCTAGGGGCAAATGTTCTTCGTCGTTGCCAGCAATCTCTGTAATAATGTCCTTGCTTTCCGCAAGCATAACAAGCATTGAGTTTAGTCCTGCACATAGAAATATTATGTCCAAATCTATTGCAATAACTGCAGGTCTCATTAACAGATGCGAGGCTTTCCGGTGGTTGAAAATTAAAGTCTCTATTTTGGAAGTGAGGTTTGTTCTGGTCGTATTGCGGTGCCCTGGTTGCGTGTCCACTCATGTGGTGAACGGACGGATGCAGCGGTCGAGACATATGTCTGAAAGCCGAAAATTTCGAGTCATCTTTTGTCACTTGAGACGTATAGTAACCTCTTCGCGACCTAATTTCCGGAAGCGAAAAATTCGTGAATGTCCTATCATCTTGAGATGCGGCATCTTTCTTTTTCTGCTTTTGACCAATGCATACAACAATTTCATCTTTGCTTGTGTAAGAGTTCTCTCCATCTTCCGAGTCGGTTTTCTTCTCGTTCTCATCTTCGACATCTTTGAACCTGGCGCATTTTTGAATAGAGCTCCACTTCACCTTTTTATTGTTTATTTTGTCACTGATGATTTGGTTGGTCACAATTCTTTTAAAGTCTTTTGGAATAGTTTTCAAAAATTTTTCTCGTAGGATGTTGCTAGTCTGAACTTTGTGCTTCGGATAGGCAATTTTGAAGAGTTTCTCTATTTTACTGCTAAATAAGAATAATGATTCGCCCTTGGTATACTTAAGTTTGTTGAAGTCCTCCCTGTTTTTCTTCTTTCGGAGTTCATGCATATCTTGGTGCCATGTAAGTAGTTTCTCCTTAATCTGGTTGTAAGTGTCGCCGACATCTTTGAGTGAACGGAAGGCTTTAAGGGTTTGTCCACTGAGTTGTTGTTCAAGTTCTCCTATCCAAAATTTACTATCTCCTTTAAAATTTTCATGGCAGTAACGCTCGAAGTGCTTTAAATAATCTTTCAAATTCTGTCCGGACTTTTCATTAAATTTTTCGAGATGCGGTACCTTCCTGTTATCGAACTTCCTAAGTAATTCCTTGAGAGTTTCAAGTTCATCAGCTGGTTGTGTTCTAAGTTTGGTTTTGGTGATCCTACTATCAGTGTCGGAGGGAGACTCCTCACTGCTTTCTAGCGAATGCTCAACCGACTCCACGGTATCGGAGTCACTTTCCGACTCGTGTACTGACTCCACACAGACTGTTTTCCGGACTTTAGGGATTGCTCCCGTTTCCTTTCCTTGTTTTCCACTCTTAGAATTTCCAGTAAGGTTTGCTTTACTAGGGGCTAGCTCTAGTTTTTGGAAGTTCTGTTTAAGTTCGGAAAGTTTCTGCTTAGCTGAAAAAGATAAATTTTCTATATCTAGCCTCATCATATTGTCTAAAAACTTGTTCATATAATCACAATTCTTAGTAATTAATTCTTCTTCCTGCTCTGACACATTCATCGGTTCCCTATCACTTTTCTCTAAGTCAATCTGGTCTTTTTCCTCCTTATGAATCTGGTCTTCCTCCTTCCTACATGCCATGATGAATACGGTTCCTGAAATCAGTAATCCCAAAAATCTATGTCCGATAAATTTTCTACTAATCGTGACTACACTAGGCACCCGCTAATAATTAAATCCTAATCACCTAATGCTAGCGCTACGACATGGCAAAAGAAATTAATGCAACAGACTAAATCCCTGAATGAAACCCTACCACACAACTAAATTCGAGACTTTCAATAAGCTCGCCAAAAAAATGGGTCAATAGGTCACGAATGGATCACGAAATGCACATAAATTAACAAAATCAAGAATGGTAATGGTAATACACATCGTACATAGTAATGAAAAAAAGATTCAAATTGTTCAATCCTACAACACACAATATCGGTTAAAGTTCACAATCATTCACACAGTCACACCTAAACATCCTATCAAAAATATTAGGCAAAACAAATTATCAAATACAAATGTTGCCAACTTAAATTTGAGCAATGAACACAAGCACAGTTATAATGATATCGAAGTATTCAATTTATTTAATGAAATTTAAACAGGGCTTTCTTTAATGTTTTTTTTTTACGTTTCAAGGTTACGCACCAAAAGGCAGCATTACGTTAGAGGCAACTTACGTTAGAAGTCACGGCACCATTAAATACATGTAGCGGGGAACCACTAGCATGTACTGACCATATGATCGTTAGTCTACTATACATTGCGTTGTCAAGTAGCGGGCTATAAAGAGTTTTAATCAATTAAGCACTTCTGAGCCTGTCTCTTATACACATCTAGATGTGTATAAGAGACAGGTCATGTGCAGAACATGATGGGTGAGTCATGTGCAGAACATGATGGGTGAGTCATGTGCAGAACATGATGGTGAGTCGTTTGCAGAACATGATGGGTGAGTCATGTGCAGAACATGATGGGNACGATTGAGGAGCTTTCTAACCTGTTCGGGCTAACTGAAAGTTTGCCTTCATTGTGATCATCTGTACTGGTGTCACTACATTCGCTGCTGAAATCATATGTGGCTCCCAGTCCTTCTGCTAATGTATCACTACTGTGATCTCTTTTCATTCTTTTCGAGTCATTACATTCGTTACTGACATATTTCTTCAAGTATTCCGGTATTGTTTTAAATGCCTTCAGTTGCCTATAATGGGCTTTGTAGGTTATCTTGTCCTCCTGATTATCATTTTCCTTCTGTAACTCGTATGTTAGTTCGTTGGACTGAACTTTGACTACTCTAAATGGACCTTCAAAACGTTCAGATAATTTATGCCCTAGACTATGTCCCTTCCTTTGAATTTTCTTTAATACCAGTTGACCTAACGAAAAAGGTGCGAATTTAGGGTTACCTTCCTTCCAGGTTTCTATAACTTTATTCTTAATGGGTAATTTCTTGTCAGAAGGATGTGTGGTATGTAAAATGCATTGTGAAGGACTCATCCCTAACTGAGAATGTACAGTATGGTTGTGGATCATCAAGGCTTTAGGTAAATGCAAATCCCATGTACGGGGTTTTTCTTGTACTAATCCTTTCAGAAGTTGAATGATGGATCTATTGCATCTTTCGACACAGCCATTAGATGAAGCTTTATATGGAGTGCTATAAATGTGAGTGATGTTGTTATTTTCTAGAACTTCATTAAATTCTGATGATTTGAATTCTACTCCATTATCAGAAAGAACTCTATCGGGAATGCCTGCAAAAGTGGGTAAAATATTTTCTGTAAATGCTTTTGTTACTGTAGAAGCCTTTTTATCCCGAAGAGGTACTGCAACTAACCATTTTGAAAAGTGATCTACTGCCACTACAACTGCGATATTATTCCTAGATGATTTTGGCAACAGCATTACATCAATTGCGACTAACTCGAACGGGTATGACGTTTCTATTTTAAGCGTTGGTGGAATTGCGATCATCCTACTGGTTTTGAACAATTGGCAATGATAACAGGATGCACAAATGTCTCTTGCAACTTTATCTAGAGCTGGATGCCAGAAGTTGCGCAAAACTAAATCTACCAATTTGTGTCTGCCTATGTGTGCTAACTGGAGATGGGTCTTGTGAACTACTTCCACCATTAGGGCGAATGGTATTACTATTGATTGCGTATTCCCAGTGTCCCTAACTAAAATATCCAAATGGACTCTCAAATTCTTTTTATGTCTCTTGTATTGGTTTAGAGTGCTCAGTTTCCAATCTTTAATATCCTTATTCATTGTAATCATTTCTTTCAACTCCTTCAAGCTTTCATCTTTGTTCTGGATAATCTTAAGTTCTTCTTCTGAAATAGTATATTTTATTTTTGGCATTACCTCATCAATCTCTGGATAATTAGTTGAATGGTCTGAATCAGACGAAATATTCTTATCGTTGGTTGATATATGTCCTAAAAATTCTGAGCCCGTTTTTGATCGTATGTGTTTGTTCATAAGAAATGATTGGTCGGTTTGTGTACCGCATCCTTTGTAAACGCTTTTCGAACGAAAATCTAAAATGATATTATTTCTATTCAGAAAGTTGGCTCCTAAAATGCAACAACATGGCATTGCGCTGGTTTCAATCACTGCAAAAGGTGTATCTTCTTTTATATCAATTTCCATGAGTTTGGGTTTTAGTTTCACGATTCCTAGAATTTCTGTCAGATTGCTACCAATGCCTCCTAATGATTTTTCTTGTCCCTCTTCAAAAACTAGATTGGTATTAGCCTTGTAAATTCTTTCCCAAAGGTCCTTGCTTATTACACTAACTTGTGAGCCCGTGTCAATTATGCAACAAAATGCTTCCTCTCCAATAGATGCAGAGTATCTACCTTCCAATGATGTGTGATTGCATGTTGCTATTTGTATGTTTATTGCAAGTTTAATTTTGTTTTCTTCATCAGAATCTTCTTCTACCTCAGTCCTTTTTCCAGAGGGTTTCATTGTTTCTAGCGTGTAAGGTTGATTAATGTTCTTTAGTTTAATGTTTACTTTTGACATTTTATTTGCTGGCAAATTCCTTTCTTCTACCGGATTATAGTGGATTCCGGAGATGCATTGCAAGTGCATTATTTGATGATCCTCAGTTAAATTATCTGACTTGTAAATTACTGGTGAAGTCATCCCATGATGGACCCATATTTCAACATTGTACAGATCGCTGGCAGCTAAAATAATTTCCTCACATGGTAGTTCTCCAACGTTTTTCATTAGTTTAAGTTGTCTTCTCTTAAGTTTGTCTAGTTTAATTTTGAATTTTTCTGGTGATGCAAGTAGATGTTCAACTAGGTGTTCTCTTAGTGAGGCGTGGTCTTCTGGTAATATCAATGTTTCTTCATTGATTGCCAAATCTTTGAGTAATATAAATAATGACACAAATAGAGAGTTGCCGCCTCCGTCAACCTTCTCTGCAAGCTTTAGGTTTCCTGGAAGTTCTGAAGAGTTTGCCCAACGTGAATGTTGTTTATCTGTAGGGCGGTCATGCGAAAGTCTGGAAAGGGCATCTGCAGCTTCGTTCTGTGTTCCGGGTCTATATCTGATGGTGAAATCGTATTCAGCTAATTCATTTATTGTTCTCATTAATCTTGAATTCTCCCTGGACATGTTTTGAAGATAGAGTAATGGTTTGTGATCTGTGTAAAGGACGAATTTAACTCCAAATAAAAATGCTCGAAATGTTTTGATTCCCCATCTTATGGCTTCCAATTCTCTTTCGATTGTTGAATACCTGCATTGCGTATCTGAGAATGTCGTGGAAGAATATGCTATTGTTTTATAGTTACCTTGTTGTTTTTGCATTAAACAGGCTCCTGCACCTGTGCCTGATGCATCGACAAATAATTCTAATTCGTCTGCTTGTTCTGAATAGTCTGGAAATGCTAACGTTACTTCTTCTGCGAGTTTTTGCTTCAGGGTTTCGAATGCGGTGTCCATTTCTGGTGTCCAAGTTAATGTTTTACGTTTCGGCCCTCCTGTCAATTCCGACAGTGGCTTGGCTATAGTTGAGCATTGATCGATGAATTTTCGTTGGAAATTTACTAATCCTAAAAATTGACGGAGTTGAGTTACATTTGTGGGTTTAGTAAATTTCCAACGAAAATTCATCGTTGGAAATTTACTAAACCCACAGAATGGTAATGGTAATACACTTCGTACATAGTAATGAAAAATAGATTCAAATTGTTCAATCCTACAACACACAATATCGGTTAAAGTTCACAATCATTCACACAGTCACACCTAAACATCCTATCAAAAATATTAGGCAAAACAAATTATCAGATACAAATGTTGCCAACTTAAATTTGAGCAATGAACACAAGCACAGGTATGACGATATCGAAGTATTTGATTTATTTAATGAAATTTAAACAGGGCTTTCTTTAATGCTTCTTTACGTTTCAACGTTACGCACCATTATGATAGAGGCAATTTACGTTAGAAGTCACGGCACCATTAAATACATGTAGCGGGGAACCACTACCATGTACTGACCATGATCGTTAGTCTTAACACCATAAAATTACCGATTACACATAAATAGGAACCTACTAATTATGAATTAACTAATTTGCTATGAATAAAAATCTGAATAATTGAGTATTACAAAAAAATCCTAATAATTTTTTTTACTTTAACAATTTCGATTACTAAATATTCTTTAGAACTGGAGTCTATACCATTACAACTCCAGAACGGAAACTCTTGACACTGTGCGTGTTTAGTCTGAAGTAGAGGGTTACCTGACTCAATTCTGATGTACGCTGATGCGCACTGCGCACAGCTGTACTCGCAAACCTGAGAGGACCGCTTTCGGGCAGGAATAAAATACTCATACCTGAAGAATTAACCAATTGCGAAATGATTTACCAGAAAAGCGTGCAGAGAATCATCTGAAAATATTTCATGAATAAGATATTCAATTCGTTGCACATGGTTTCGAAGAGCTGCCAAAGTAGGGCAATGTGAAATAGATTTTCTGCTATAGAACTGTGAAAAAATATCGAAAAATTGCTCGAACAGGAACTTATTACTTTGCGTGACAGAAACCCATTTGAAATACATCATGAACGAATTAAATTCACGATTCATGTATATATATAGCAAAGAAGATGAGCAAAATTAGTCTTAGGATGTTCGAGCTAATAAATCTCAGTACAATATTTATATGGAAACAAATTACTATTTATTTCTGAATTTGATTTACACAATGATTTTATGCAGAATCTCATGAATATCTCAAAGTAAGACGATTTTGACGCAGAATTATCCACATCCAAAGCTTAATATTGTGCCGGTAACCTATGATAAGCGCTGCATCTCGTCGTTGTACGAGGCAAAACTAATGCTTTGGAATAATGTTATAGTTTTGGCTTTCTGTTTTGAATGTATTTCTCTTTACGGATGCTAACAGAATGATTCTTGCTAGCCAGCATTGCGAACAAAATATTTACATCTAATCCAGCGCTTTCCCCATTCCTGCACTTCATAATTCTGCTTGTCTGCATTCCGCAGTTACTAAACATTTATGAAGCGCAATACAAGACTCCCCTGGTGCTTCACTTCCAGCAGGTATAATCAAATGATTTCTCGTGATTTATGCACGTTTATTCAACTTGTCGCTTGATTCTGCCGTTGTTTTAAATAAACCTACTCATCGCATTGAATCTGATGGACAAATTGTCCACGCTTATGGTGCATATGTCAGGTTACCTATTTCAGTGGTAACCTGATTATTAGTGATGATCTTCTTCATATATAGGCATACTATAGTGACGTCACGGAAGTGACGCAGTAACTGCTAACACAAGTAAGGGACTTACGGTTGACAACCTGACACATATCATTAAAATTTGCGTCTGTACAAAAGTTAAGGTGGACGTTAAGCAGAAACTGCTCGCACAGAAACTGCCATTTTCATCCCGTAATGACGATACGTATTATTATAAATTCAAATCTAATCCTTCATATTAAATTATCTCTGACATTGATTAATTGAACTTATTTATTTTACGCAGGTAATGATACACAACCGAGTATTTTTGCTATTTACAGTACCATTTGCTGTACGTTTGGTGATTTGGCAGTGTATTAGGGCTAGAACCCCTAGTCTCTGCGGCTGGTCGTGGCATCTCGATGCGGTTAGTTCCCGTGCCATTTGCTATCCATTTTGTTTTTCGCAGCTGTGTATTAGGGCTCAGTTACATTTTTCGGCTGTTTGTACCCCTGAAATGTCAAACCTTTTTCTGCGAACTTTTGGATTAAGAAGAATAACAAATTGTGCGCCTTGTATGAAGAAACTTGTATTTGCCTGAAGATTTCCAGTATACTACGAAAACTTCATCGTGTTCATTACTCCTTTCTACAACGCAAGGGAATTTAGAGTCGGACCAAAGAGCGACTCTTTAGCCCTTGTGTTTAGGATCAGAACGAAAGTCTATACCAAGTCGGCACGCTACCCGTAAATATTTCGACTTCGCGGCGTGTTTCCGGTTACAATATGATGCATTTAATGTCGTTCATAGTTGCAGCACCAGTAACCAGGAAGCAGCTCATTAACCAATGCACAGCAGGACTGAAGTCGACAATTTCCTTACGAGCCAACCAAGTTCCTCAGGAATATTCGTAGCGCCAATTAATTGCATTAAATTGGTCGCGGTAGTTTGAGACGCTCATTTTGACAATGAGAACTGCTCTACGTATAAACATTGATTAAATTCTGTATTGTATTTACGCTCACATGAGTCACCGATATGCACATGCGTATTACATACATACTGTATATTGTTCTTTCTACAAATTTAGGTCTTTGGACTATATAGGGTATACGGACATATGAACTAGTAACAGGTTGTCATGTACGAAGAGTTTTATAATCATTTGTATTGGACATTAGTAACCCCTGCCCCCCTTCAACGTTAAACTGTATCTGATTCCGAGGTAGAACACGGATCTTGTAGCTTTCAATTCGATGATAACGCGTGTAAGGAAATGATAAATAAACAGATAAATATTGATTAACGAATTACGCTAATGATGACAAAATTCTTCAGTCCACAAAAGTATAGGGCCTAGTCTTAATTAGCGGTGAACTACAGTATACTCTATACTGGTGGATTTTAATATAAATAAAAGTCTAGACAAGTGGTCAGCGTATACACTATACAGTATATGGCGTTAAGCGAAGGATTATACTGCAAATTAGGCATCATCACAAACAATTTCGGCAACATTAAAAATAAAGACATGAGCTTTTGAATACGCCAATAAAATATGAAGCATTCTTATCATCACTGATGAACATCTATAAATAGAAAAAAAATATATATGAATTTTCCAGTTATTCTAGATGGAGCCTAAAATTGATGTAACAAGAACCAGATGTTGTCATATGTTCGATTGCTTGACGGTTTATATAGTGACGAATGTTGTGATTGTTTTATTCATAGTTTCAGGAAAATCCTGAATTAACTCTTAAAATCAATTTATATATATCGTATTTCAATAAATTATTAATCTTCATTACACTGAATATAACTTTTTCGCCATCTGAATATTTTTATCACAGATTAATCAATGAATAAAAATTTCTCAAATTAAGAAATGTGCAACAAGGTTGGGCCAGCTAGGTTGTTTCCAAGGGAGAATAGATCCACATCTCTTCAATATTTTCCACATATATTAATTTGACTTTCTATGTTAGGACTTAACATTTTTGTGTGCGTCGAAGTTGGTCAATGTTTACGTTAAAGCTTCCAATATTCCAATGCATTTTTCAAGATAAAAATTAAAGTGTGCAAAATTCCTTCATGCAAATACCTTTTACAAGCATTCAACCTCAGTTCATCCGGGAAGCGAAGCAAGTTGTAAAATAGCAATAGGAGTCAAATTTTCCTGGGGATAACTGGATTATGAAGTTAATGACCGTCCTGATTATTTCCCTATTTCGAGGCAAGTGGCTTGACCGAGATCCTTTCATTAACTCCTTTGCCCCAAGGAAATTTTAGAACAGCGCCGTTTCTAGGTTCATGCAGGATTAAAAAACTAAATTAAAACAGTCTATCGCGAATTGGAGTTCAAGCGAAACTGCATGCAAAATTTTAAATTTTGTTTCTCCATTTAAAAGCACCCTAGTTTCAAACTACTGCTTATATTTTGAGTCTAAAAACTCTTCGATCTAGTAATCGGACAGAAACAATTTCCTCAAAGAGACTTCAAGTAACCACTTTATCATAGCTTCAAACATGGCTGCAGTAGATACTAGATATTACTGACATGAGAGATTTCACATGATTGTCTCATACTATGTAGTGGTTCTCACCAAATTCTAACAATTTCCTCTGCAATCCATGGTAATGAACTTTTTAATTTTCTTCGCCTCCATCAATTTTCTGTGCCCGCTTCGGAAGTGCCGACGAAACTCGTGAAGGTTGCTTTGAAATTATGCTCACCATTATCTGCAAACTGCTATGGTGCTCAGCTGGTCCTCATAGTAATCGGTTGAGTAGATTTGGTTGGCAAACCACCGAGCTTTAATCATACTTAACTATTACTGTCTCTGCACTTGTAAAAACTCACAGACGTAGGTTATTATACATTTATTCAAGATTTAATGCACAAAAGGCACCTAGAAATTTAATTTGCACAAAATTCTGCGTACGTTCAAGTTCAATTTACGTTGACAAAACATGATTGAAGTGTTTTTGCAACTGGAATTTGCTAGCGGATCTGGTGAATTGGATTTTTTAGGAAGCTCCACCGCGGTGATTGCTGTCCAAAGGAGAAGAATTGAAATTCTTCAATCTAGATTTAATAAAAACGTAATCGAGGTTACATGGGCTAAACACATCTTTGAGCTCGTGGCTCCATGGATTGTTTTCATCTTCGAAGACGCGCACTGATTTTGTTGTCGAAAGTGCATTTTCTTTTTATAGCTTTACTTCATTATCAGGCATGATGAATCAAATTAAGACGTAGAAAGTCAGGTTATCCGGTCAGGTATTTATCCGGTTTAACAGTTTTTCATGAGTTTTATTTACATTTTGCGCGTTTATAAACGAAGCAAATTTT